GTTAGTAGGCAGACAGACAGACAGTCAGTCAGACAGACAGACAGGCAGGCAGGCGTACAGACGGGTAGGTTAGTAGGCAGACAGACAGACAGACAGTCAGTCAGACAGACAGGCAGGCAGGCAGACAGCCAATCAGGTAAGCAGCTAGACAGACAGACAGTCGCCATGAAGGAAAATAATGACATTTAGTGTGTTACCCTTAATATCACCACTTAAAATCTAAGTAAAATAAACAACGTGGAAGTGCCCAAAACAAAGAAGGAAGCGACACCACAATGTTTTATTTGTGTCGCTTCTGGTGTGAAGTGAGGGTGGTGGTGAGCTTGGTGGTTTATGAGGGTGACAGACAGACAGACAGAGACAGACAGACAGACAGACAGACAGACAGTCAGTCAGTCAGTCATTTAGTGTCAGGCAGACAGCTTTACAGACAGTCAAACAAGCAGGATGACTAACAGGCAGATAAGCAGGCAGGTAAATAGGAAAGCAGCTCGGCAACCAGGCAGACACATAGACAAGAGACAAACAGATGGCCAGACAGACAGACAAGCAGCCAGGCAGGTAGACTTACAGAAAGACACAGACAGATAGACAGACAGGTAGGTAGCTACACAAGTAGGCGGGTAGACTGATAGGTATAAATATGACAAGAAGTAAATATATGTGTAAAAAAGTGACATTGATTTGATAACTTGTCCTTTACTTGAAATATCTTGACTATACCTATATTGTTAAATCTATGTGCCATGCCAAAAAGCAGTGCCGTACCTTGTTGCACCTGTGTGAGGAGGCGGAGCGTCCGAGTAGGTGCCCGAGGCTCCTGGCGACGTTGGAGTGACGTTTTCCACCAGAGGCTCGTAGGGCACCAACGGGACGCCCTCCGTGATCACGTCTCCTTCGAGGGCACAGCCTTTATTCGCGAAGAGGTCTCCTTTCGACTCAAAGCCTAGGGGACTGAGCTTCGCCATGGGGTTGACGTGGCCTTCCCGCGCCTGACGTCGTCCCTTTCTGGGTGACTTGTGGGTTCTGGTCTTCCTCTGGGTCCTTGTGCTGCAACCCTCCCTGTCGTCGAGACCTGTATACTTTCCGCTTGGGCCCTTGGAGTCTTTGCCTGGCGAGTCGGAGCTGTCGTCACTGTTGGTGGAGAGGTCGCGATGGCGGGACGAGGCCGAGTATTTGCCAAACCCTTCAGATTTTGAGGCGTTTGCGTCCATCTTCCTCATGCCATTTGATTGACTGTCGCTTCTCCTGGCACTGGTTTTGATTGTGATTGAGTTCTCGCAGTAACTTTTCCATTCAGGTTTTCTGTTGATGAACAACTTGTCCCTCTTTCGCTGTCCAGTTTTGCTTCTCCCTCTCCCTGGGCGTTCGGGACTGCCATCCTTCTTTTCCGACGGAGGGACAAAGTAGTCCTCTCCATTGCGGGCGTTCAGGACATGTCGTCGATGCCACAATTTTCTCCTAGGGGTATCATCCTCAAACAGGAAATGATTTTCTTCCGTCTCTCGAACTGCGGGGAAGGTCCCTCTGCTAGTAGCTCTACCAGGTTGTAGAAAATCTGACGAAGGGTTGAGACTAGATCTCCTATTGGCTCTTGGGCGCCTTGCTCCGAAGAGCTCCTCCGTCGGAAGGGACTGCTTACGTAGAGCATTTGGTCTCTTTGATAGCGCTTGGTCCTGAAGGAAAAATGGGTCCTCTACTGTGGGTGAAGTGATAGGGGATGCAATATTTTTTTGAGACTTTTTATTGTTGTTGATGTGATTATTGTTGTCTTTCTTATCTGTTAATTTGTCGGTATTCTTTACATTTTCGTGTGGTGTCTGGTCATGTCCCTTGTCTTTTGATGTTTTCAAATTATTTTTGACATTCTCATTATCCTGTTGATTGATTTCGTTCTTTGATATGCTTTGTTTCCTGGAGGGAGTCTTTTGCTCAAGGGATTTGCTAATGTTCTCAAGGTTTATCTCCATTACATGATCTGTTATGATTGGCAGTTTTCTTGACCTTTCAGAATCAGTGCTCCTGTTACCATTTCCTTTGGAGTTTCTTCTCGTTTTTGCAATCTTTGATATATCTGTAAGCATCGAATTACAGGGCAGGAGAGGGCAGTCAGGTATGAGGACATCATTTTCACCCAAAGTCTTCTTGTAGGACACATACTCGTCTCGATCAAAGTTGTCAATTTTTACATCTAAGAGAGAAACCGGTTCCACCGCTCTCGGAATATATATTTTATCGAGGCTGGTTTTCCTCCTCTCACTTAGGCTTAATTTCCTACTCTCTTGTGCACCTTCCTTCAGTGCCTCCTCGTCCTCCGTCGCCAAAGGTTCAATTAAACCCACAGGACTCTCTGGCTTTTTGGTGTCAGAACTCAAGGTAGTGGTGACTTTGCTCTGAATGGTGGTAGTTTCACACTGGGTTGTGGACTGCAGTGTTGAGCTCACGTCTGTGGTCTTATTTGCATTTGATGTTTTAGGATCTGTATCTTGTTTGCACACCTTGGGCGCTGTGTCTGCCTTCGAAAGTGGAGGCAAAGGTTCTGTTCTAGGCTTCCTAGTAGGCTTAAGGAGGACAAAGTCAGCTTCTTGAGCATTGATATTTTGATAAACTTCTGAAGAGATCCCATATGGTGCAGGGTACATGAGTTCTTCCTGGAGATCCCCAGGAGTGAAGAGTTTTTGAGTGTAAGATTCCTGGGAAGGAGTTAAGAAACTAAACCAGTCTGGTGAGGTGAGAACGGGAGGTTTCACACTACTCCTCACTGTTCCTAGCACCTTTGCCATAGCATTAAGGCTGGGGAGGTCTCTGCCTAGATCTTTGTAGGCCAAGGCTTCTAGACCTGTACCGGAAGCTGAGCTACTTGTAGTTACACCATAGGAAGATTCTGACACTCCCTGGGACATTGCAGAGGAAGTTGTGTCTGTGTTTTGATGGCAGTGATTGCTCTGTTCATCAGATGAAGAGACATTTGGCGGAGAAGGCTGTGACGAGAGGCACTGGCACTCAGACTTGGCTGAATCGAGAGAGACAAGTTTAGTTCCCTCCTTTAGACGGATGGGAATGACAGAGGATACGGCTGTTTGAGGAAATTCGGGCAAACTGAAATCCCTTGGAATATAATTTAGATCTAGTGAAAATTTCCTTGGGGTAGAAGGCATCGAGGCAAAGGTAACACGAGTGTCACAACTTCCTTGGTCAAACATTGGGTTGAGAACACCTGGAGACAATTTATGTGTTGGTCTGGCTGCACAGGCATGGCTCGTGCCAGGGTTGACACATGCACACTGTCCCGATGGAGATGTTATAAGCTCACAAGACGTGGTTAGAAGGCCCCCTGACATAGGTTGTGTCCTCACAACCTCTGGATTTGTATACCTCCTTACGAGACGACTACGATAATTACTATAATACTCAGGGTAATAAATGTTTGTACATGTTGTAGTTTCCTGTGCTGTTTCAAGGCTTTGAATACTGAAGGGTCCTCTTTTTGTTTTATCACAGTTAAGCTGATATGGTAGAGTTTTAAATATACCATCATGCAATGCCCCTTTCCCTTCAGGTAGACTAAAGGGCCCACTCGTCTCTTGGTGCTGTTGGTTCTTCCTTATGGGGGTACAAGATCTCGAAAAGGGTCCACACGGGAGCGAGGAACCACATGTAGCGAGGATGGAGGAATTAAGCCCTCTGTTGTTAAAAGCATCTGAATAATGTACAATACTCTCTTTGGGTAAATTTTGCGCACCAACGTTTGTTGAAATTAAGGAGACTTGTGGCTTTTCCTCCAGTGATATCAAATTCACTTCTTCCTCACTAACTGTTGAGACCTTTTCCTTTCTTTCACTTTCCGTTGATCTGTCTTTGTGACTCGCCAAAGCCACTTGTCCTCCCGACTCACTCCCCGGGGAACCGTCCCTCTCACCGCCGAGCTGGTTGGCCTCCGACGTCTCCACGGCTGTCATATCTCGGCCTTTGTCGAAGCAGTCGAACGGGGAGATGGTCGAGTTGCTAAGGCTCCGCAGCGCTTCCTGGTCGCTCTCGTTCTTGGTGTCAGAGCATTTCGGGGAGGCCTTCAGGGGATCAAACTCGTCCAGGTCTTCCCCGTTGCCCGAATCGGGAGAGAGTTCTTGGGAGGGCTTCTGGTCTGCGAGCGTCTGCTGGGAGGGGAGAGCAGAGGGCGGCGCCGAGGAGAGAGCTGTCTGGAGGCATCGTGTCGTGAGTGTGGCTTCCATTACTGAGGTGTTGCTGCCGTCACAGTACCCAGACCTCTCCGCTTGTTCATCGTACACACTTGCGGATGCCTTATAGGATACGGATATAGAGTATGTATTTATCAACAATTAAATCAACAATAAAGATCACCTAGCAGCACACTTTTAGGAATATGTGTTATTATGACGGTTTAAATACCAGTTTCTGATTTTAGATAACAATGATAACAGAGGTTTCTAAATAACACCATAGTATTTGTCGTCACCTCTGCTTCTTACCGATAACAAGGTCATAAGAATGCCTAGATTGTGTATCACGTAGGGCTAGGAATACACTAAATGTACCATTATTCATCTTTTAATTCATTGTTAGCTTTTGTTTCTGTGACTTAGTGCATTATGGGATATTATTTCCAGTCACACTAGCGTCTCGTACTGACATTTACCTTTCTTTTCTTATCTTCATTTACACACTACAGTTGGCTTTGTTTGTTTTCCTAGTATTATGCGAGTATTTATGCTCTTTTATTTTGTATGATTTCTATTTTCTCCTTTGTGCATTTAAAGCCATCAACACGAAGTATAAACAAATATAAACTTTCATTTTATTTCCATCCTTTGCACCAAATGAGCTTTAATTGAAACTCTTTCTGTATCTTCCTCTATCGTCTCCTGCGCCTTCTGCATAACAGGGGAGAGCTTCCCAGGAACGAGATTGTGGTCCCTCCTGCGCGGCGCTTCGGGAGCTACTCGGAGTCTCCTGCTCCTCCGTCGGTAGAATCGCGCTGCTCTCTGAAACGAAAAGAAATCCGTTTAGGAATGTAATTTTATTTCTTTATTTATATATGCATGAATGTAGAAAGACATGCTGTTGTCTCTTGTACGCGCTTGGGTACGAACGCGCTCGCGCACACACACACACGCACGTACGCCGCACACACACACACACACACATACACACACACACACACACACACACACACACAACACGAATCGAACAAACTTTAATGATAATGATAATGATAAAAATAATAATGAAATGGAAGTAATAAGGATACTGATAAGATACTGAACATAGCAGGTAAATAAATATATTTTTTAAATCCCTGAAATCTCAATCAAAGGTTTCAAAACAGGCCAACCAACCGCAGTAGAGAATACCCAACCAAAGAAAAGAAGAAGAAGAAAAAAGAAAGAAAAGAAACTGAAATCTCAATCAAAGGTTTCAAAACAGGCCTACCAACCGCAGTAGAAAATACCCAACCAAAGAAAAGAATAAGAAGAAAAGAGAAGAAAGAAAGAAAACAAACAAACCCGAGAATAACCCCGGAGCATCGTCAACCGAGACAATAAATCGGCGACAACAAACACAACCAAGACGTCGGCGAGAGAGCTTTCACGGAGCGAGGAAAGCCGGTCGCTTGGGAGAATTCCTTCGGCTTTTAACAACTCGCGGTTCGGTGATCAGGAAAAGGCTGGATTTTTTTGTTTTGTTTTGAGTATTGTCTTTCTGTTTGATTTTTTTTAGTTTGAGTCTTTGGGGATGTGTGTGTGTGTGTGTGTGTGTGTGTGTGTGTGTGTGTGTGTGTGTGTGTCTGTGTGTGTGTGTGTGTGTGTGTGTGTGTGTGTTTCGTGGAGCGAGGAAAGCCGGTCGCTTGGGAGAATTCCTTCGGCTTTTAACAACTCGCGGTTGGTGATCAGGAAAGGCTGGATTTTTTGAGTATTGTCTTTCTGTTTGATTTTTTCTTTTTTTAGTTTGAGTCTTTGGGGATGATGTGTGTGTGTTTGTGTGTGTGGGTGTGTGTGTGTGTGTGTGGTGTGTGTGTGTGTGTTGTGGTTGTGTGTGTGTGTGTGTGTGTGTGTGTGTTATATTCATATATATATATAATAGATAGATAGATATAGATACACACACACACACACACACACACACACACACACACATATATAAATATATATGTCCAATATCACCACACCCATGGCACTTACAAAAGAAAAATCCTTTTAAAAGCTAGTAATACGCCAATCACACTCATGTGTCAGGTCAATTTAATTATCAAATATTTGATCAAATCTAATGATCAATTATATGCATTTATATATATACACATATACACACAGATACATACATAATAGAAAGAGTGAGAGCGAAAGCGAGAGAGAAAAGAGAAAGAGAGAGAAAGAGAAAGAAAATACAAGAGAAGTAAAAAACGGAGTGACTTGCGTGCAGCTCGTGAGAAGTATAAATAAATCAACAGGTGCGTTTGTCAATAGAAATATCCACAAGTCTGATATGTATATATAAACATGGACACGGAAGCCAAACATTAAGAATTGGTCGTGTCTTCGTCAGGCTGTTCTGTTATTATTGTTTATTTTTATTGTTTTTTATTGTTTTTTTTCCTTCTTTTTCTCTTTCTTTTGTTGTATTTCTTATCTCTTTTCTTCTTTTTCTTCTTCCTCACTTTCTCCGCCTTCTTGTTCTCTTTTTTCTTCTTATTCTTCTTCTCTTCTTCGTCTTCATCCTTCTCTTTCTTCTTCGTTTTGTCTTTTCCACCGTCTTCTTCTTCTCTTTTTTTTCCTCTTCTTTTTCTCATCACAGTCAAATATACACCGAAACACACACACACACAGGCACGCAATCATGTAGCAGAGTGCGTGTTCAGAAAAAAGAAGGAAAGAAATAAAAAGAAAAGAAAAAAAGAAAGAGAGAAGAGAGAAAAAGAAAAGGAAGAAAATTAAATGCACACACAACACACACACACACACACACACACACATACACACACACAACACACACACACACACACACACACACACACATATATACATATATATTATATATATATATATATATATATATATATATATATATATATATATTATATATATATATATATATGTATGTATGTATGAATGTATAATGTATATGTAAAGATAGATATAGAGAAATATAATCTACTGCTTCCAAAAATCATCAAAAAAGGTCAAAAGTCGAAAGGAGAGCAAGAAAAAACACTCAGAACTTCAGTAAGAAAAGTCACGAGTTTTCCCCTCTCTCTCAGACTCGTTTCCAACTGCTTGCGAAGTTAATTGCATCCTTTGCATGCGCCAAGCAACGTCGCTATATTCTCCTCTGTCCATCCCCCGGGGTTAGATCAGAGTGGGGGGGCGGGGGGGACTGAAAACTAGCGGGGGAGTGTGTTTGCGTGTGCGTGGTTGTTGGTTTGTGTGTGTGAAGGGGGGGGGGGGGGTGTCTGTGTATGTGTGTGTGTGTGGGAAGGGTGTGTGTGTGTGTGTGTGTGTGTGTGTGTGTGTGTGTGTGGTGTGTGTGTGTGTGTGTGTGTGTGTGTGTGTGTGTGTGTGTGTGTGTGTGTGTGTGTTTGTGTGGTGTGTGAGAGAGTATTTACGGGTATATGTATCAGTGATGTTTGTGAGTGTTTATGAGAATATGTATTATTTTATTTTTCTTGTTTGTGTGTTTAATTTGTATATTTGAGAGACAGATAGATAGTTGAAAAGAGAGACATACAGAGACAGAGATAGAGACAGACAGACAGACAGGCAGATAAAAAGACAAAGATAGAATGAGAACAATTGGTGTAAAAAATAACAAATGCAAAGATAAAGAAAATGAGTGAAAACGCCACAATAAAAGAATGTGTAGAAAGAAAGAAGTAGAAAAAAATACAAGAAAATTAAATATTTAACTAAACAAACATTTGTTGTAGTTACAATAATGTCAAAACAAACACACATACGCAAACACATGCATACACTGAACACAAAACACACACACAAACATAAATATGCCACACTGAACACAAAACACACACAAACATAAATATGAACACAAAACACGCACACAAACATAAATATGCACACACTGAACACAAAACACGCACGTACATATACATGGAATACACAGCACACACAAACTCGCATGAAGACATGTACACATATAGCGCAAAATCACACACACACACACACACACAGAAAGAGAAAAATATAGAGACAGATACATAGATAGCGAGAGGGATATAGAGAACAAGAGGAGGGAAAGAGATTTACATAAAAAGATGAAAGTGAGCGAGAGAGAGAGAGAGAGAGAGAGAGAGAGAGAGAGAGAGAGAGAGAGAGAGAGAGAGAGAGAGAGAGAGAGAGAGAGAGAGAGAGAGAGAGAGAGAGAGAGAGCTCCGTCCGCCATCACTTTCACCATAATACACAGAATCCTTCTTACCCAAAACCTTTCTAAATCTCCAGAAATAACGTAACCTCAGGTCCCTATTATGACATGATAACTGGCTATCTGAATCACGGCCTATTGTCCCCCTAACACCGTGTTGTCTCTTCACTGTACCCTCTAGCTCACACTGGAACAAAGGGTGTTTTCGTGTTGTTCTGTTCAGGAGGTCTGTGAGGTTGTTCATAAGCACGAGAGGTGAGGAGAGGTACTGGGTGATACTTGTCAGTGACTTTTATGCCAATTATAGAATTTTAAATATTTTGAAGGGTTCCTCTATACCACTTACATGATTCCTATATACCTGTTTGTATCTGTCATCCCACTTTATACCACTCTGTACCAATGATACTTTACTTAAAAGTCCAGTTCTCGATTTATACCACTTGTAGGTAAGTTTCATGTCAATTATAGACTCGAATCATACCACTTCTAGGTAACTTTTTAACCACTTATAGGGCTTTACATCTTTTGAAGGCTTTTCTATACCACCTACATGGTTCCTATATACCTGTTTGGATCCTTATTACTTATACGTCACTTTATACCACTTTGTACCACTGATCTGTTTTGGTTGTAAATTCAGATACTGATAGATATCTTACCTAAATGGACATTCAGATGTTAATTCACTTTTATTTTATTTATTTTATGGGTCTTTCTTTACATCTCTCTCTCTCTCTCTCTCTCTCTCTCTCTCTCTCTCTCTCTCTCTCTCTCTCTCTCTCTCTCTCTTCTCTCTCTCTCTCTCCTCTCTCTCTCTCTCTTTCTCTTCTCTCTCTCTCTCTCTCTCTCTCTTCTTCTCTCCTCTCTCCTCTCTCTCTCTCTCTCTCCTCTCCTCTCTCTCTCTCTCTCTCTCTCTCTCTCTCTCTCTCTTCTCTCTTCTCTCTCTCTCTCTCTCTCTCTGTCTCTACTCAAAAAAAAAAAAAAATGATTTCAAAAAGAGGGATAGAGCTTGAGAGAAAAACCAGGAGCACACTTCATTGATTAGAAGCACCTTTTTGCTTTACAACACCTGATGTTTTCTCTAGAATGCAACACTAACAGCCTCAACTTTGCCATTTTTTTACGTTTTTGTCCAGTAGAGTGTGTGAGTTTTGATGGGTGTGGGTTGGAGATAGAAGGAGGGAGGGAAGGAGAGAGAAGGAAAAGAGATGGAGGGAGAGAGAGAGAGAGGGAGGAGGAAGAGAGAGGAAAGAATGAGAGAGAGGGAGGAGGAAGAGGGAGGGAGGAGAAGAGAGAGGGAGTAGGAAGAGAGAGGGAGGAGGAAGGGGGAGGGAGGAGGAAGAGAGAGGGAGTAGGAAGAGAGAGGGAGGAGGAAGGGGGAGGGAGGAGGAAGAGAGAGGGAGTAGGAAGAGAGAGGGAGGAGGAAGAGAGAGGGAGGAGGAAGAGAGAGTTAGAGAGAGAGAGAGAGAAGAGAGAGAGAGAGAGAGAGAGAGAGAGAGAGGAGAGAGAGAGAGAGAGAGAGAGAGAGAGAGAAGAGAGAGAGAGTAAAGAGAGCTAAACTGACTGAGAGATAGAGCATAAGTAAATAAATAGATATATAGAC